TTGAACTGTAGCTTTTCTTCTTGGTGCCTGAGGAATGTCTAGGATCTTGGAAGCTGGTTTTTATGTCCCATAAAGAGAACCTCAAGAAACACCCACCAAACGCTGGATCATACATGCTGGCAAGGTCAGTATTGGGAATGAAATAGGTATTTATTTTTTTCCCTCAACAATAGATGGGCTCATATATGCATATAGAAGAGGAAAAATCAGAAGGCAGACATTGGCACGGGGAGAAGAAAGGGAGAGATAAACAAAAACAGAATAGGAGAGAATGAATGGAGAGACGTGGAGAGAGAAAAGAGTGGAGATATAGAGACAGAGAGACTGAGGACTGAGAGAAGAAGAAGGAGAAAATGACAGATAAAAATAAAGAGAAGGGGTAAACAGAAAGACAGAATGAAAGAAACAAGCAAAAAGAGAGAAAAGTGGATGAAGAGGTAGGGACAGACATACGTGAGGAATTTCATCTGCCTCAGATCCTGACCTAGAAAAGCAGATTTGAACAGCACAGAGTCAAGCATTCCAAACCTGTTTTGGGTTTCAAACAGGAGTTTGAGGAAGACCTCCTAAGCTCCCACAATGTTTCCTCCACTGGCTATAAAACATATCCAGCTGCCACAAGGAGGGATTTTTTTTCCTCAATGACTCGCATTATTCCTGTCTGTTTTTCAGGACAACCCTGTAGTACAGGGCCTTACTCACAGTCGGTTTCGTAGTACAGGGCCTTACTCACAGTCGGTTTCGAAAGTCCAGTTGTTGAATGAGTGCATGTGCTTTCTAAGGACAGATGTCTGTCCAGAGTGTCACTTCTAGTACAGGGCCTTACTCACAGTCAGTCTCAAAGGTCCAGTTGTTGAATGAGTGCATGTGCTTTCTAAGGACAGATGTCTGTCCAGAGTGTCACTTATTTAGTCCCTGACGTCTGCCTGTGTAAGAATTGTCCAGATAAAAGTCATGGCCCCTGAAGCAGTAGCAGGGCACCTGAAGCTGTGAAGAAGGATGAAGTGAGGTGGGGTCATCAAGGGGGGAAGGGCAGGAGGCCGGGATCAGGGTAAGCAACGTCATTTTTTTAGTTCCTGCTGAACACACAGTTACCCTGAAGGATTGTTCGTCCAGCCCATCTCCAAACACAGTCTCGGACACTGCATTCAGCTGCTGGGTGTCAGAATGTAAGCTACTTCTGTGAGAACAAGCCTCTCTCGTGAGTTTTCTGCTCCGTTCCCCTTGGTAAATAGAGCCTGTCTCCCACTAGCCTGAATGGTAATTCCAGCAGAATGTTTCCCTCTGTGTTCATATATGTTCCGTGTTGCTGCTCCTGGTTTGCCATCTTGATTTTTGCCAGTAATTTCTATACTCAATTCCACATCTTCTTCCACGGTATCAACGTCCAGAGTCTAGCAAAGGAATCGATCTGAATCATTTCCTCCTGGATGTAAAAGAATGTAAGTTCCTCATGTCCCTCTCTGGGTAGATTTGCATTTTGTCTTTAATTGTATAAGGAAGAGAACCAATGTTTACTGAGTATTATGCAAGAAAATGTTCTGAGGGCTTTTCACATGTCATCTGATGTCATCTTTACAATAACCTTATGGGGCATAATTACATGTTGTTTAAAGATCCTCATGTTTCTGAGAGTCTCAAAGGTTAAAAACCCTCTACAGAA